CGCCCGGTGACCCCAGCGCCCGGTGACCGCGGGAGCGAGGACCTGTGGCCGCGAGAAGCCCCTACTCACGCAGGGCTTTCACCACCCTGGGGTCCTGGCTGCTGCAGCACCCGGTGCGGGTGTGGACTGGGTAGAGTTGTCTCCGTCAGGTGCGCGGTCCTGGGCATTTCATCCCCGGGGTCTGCAGCCTCGGGAACAGGTCCCCTTCTCCTCTCCCCATTATTATATTGGAGACACTTAATAGCCTCTCATAATCTCACCTTTCACTTTTCCTTCCTTCCTGGCTGTCCACGGCTGTATCGACCTGCTATATTTCCATTGTGGAATTTTTTTTGGGGGGCTGTTGACTTACGTAAGTTAGGTTGACTGACCAACCATTGCAGCCGTTGAAAAACACCTCTCCCAGCGCTTAACGAGTCCAGTTCCGTTTAGCGCTCACCAAATCCAGCCCAAGAATTCAGGGAGCCGTCAGTCCTTCCCAGGAGCTGACTGCACACATTCCTGTAAGATGCCTGATGGATTTTGTACTTGTCAGTTTTACTGGCTGTATGCTCCTTCTGTGCTTTTCATGAAAAATGATTGGGTGGCAAGTGTTTTGGCTTTCTCTCCCCCACCGGGAAATCGAAAAAAAAAGTTACAGAAGCACGCTTGTTTTCAACAACCAGAAAGTACAGCTTTGCAAACAAAATGCCATAGGGTTTGTTCTTTATGTGAGGGGTAGTCTTCCTTGGTCTTTACCCCTTCACTGGTTTACTGTCAGCATCAATGCCTTCATCGTGTGTGTGTGTCCCCGGCACTTAAGATTTGCATGTGTCTGTTCTCCCAGCTTATTTATATACAGAGCAGTCAGATCTGGGACTAATGAGGCTGTCAACCTTTCATTTGTTAGCTGCAGAGAACTATAAAGGGGCAGGTTTGTGGAAGCCTTTATTTTGCACTTAATGACTGTGGTCTGGGTCTCTCATTCTAAGATGATGTGCGAGGTGATGCCGACCATCAGTGAAGCAGAAGGCCCCCCAGGAGGAGGTGGGAGCCACGGCTCCAGCTCCCCTTCACAGCCCGATGCAGATTCCCATTTTGAACAGTTGATGGTCTCCATGCTGGAAGAGAGAGACCGGCTTCTCGACACGCTGAGGGAGACTCAGGAGACGCTGGCACTAACCCAGGGGAAGTTACACGAGGTTGGTCACGAACGGGATTCCTTGCAGAGGCAGCTCAATACTGCACTTCCACAGGTATGGATGACTTTTGACTCGCAGCTTTTCTCCTAAATGCTTTTTCACGGTGTTAGTATTTTCAGACCGGTGTTTTGCATAACCCTTTGTGAGATGCTGGTTCTGTTGTTTGTACAGCCCATCTAGATAGAGTTCCTGAGGATTAAACTCTTAGGGAGAACAAACTGGTGCTCTTAAGTCACGTGACAGCACCTTACCACTCTTGTTCCTTTCTGTGCCGCAGAGGAAGGAACTGCCTGGATTTGGAACAGTGCTCCAAAGGTTTTGAAAAATGGCCGCGAAGCAACCAAGATACGTGATACCTTCTGCTTTGTTGTCTTAAGCCATTTTTTGCCTAAAACATGTATTTCCAATTTCCTGATGAAATGCAATGGAAAAACAGGATGGATTTCACAGGAAAAATATTTTTACAGTCCACCTTTCTTAGAACACCGGTGTTTTGTAAATCACATTTGTTTTAGGGGATAGAAGACTGAAGACTGAGTCCTTTGGAAATTCTCCGTGGCAGATGAGAGTTTAAAGCTTAGATCACACTGAAGTTTTTAATCTAAGTATATTGCGTCTGGACCAGTGTTTCAGAGCCTGGTCTTGTGGAGCTGAGTGAGAGGATGTAATGGTAGGTGTGGGGAGAAGGTGTCAGTGTGAGGTGGATGGCACAGAGCATAGAGAGATGTGTGGGTGACTGGGGTGCTTGTGAGCTGTGTGGGTGCCGTTTTCCTTGTTTATAATAGGTGCCTTTGCGGTGCCTTCAGGTAGACCTGAATAAGCATGCATTTATTCTCTCATGATGGGCCTGCCGTGGTAAATTAGTGAGTGCCTGACTACTAGCCTTAATGTACCTCTTGGCTTTAGTCAGTTCTCCTGAAAGATTGGTAAGCCAAACATTTGGACTTCCTTTTTAGCAACAATGATTCGATGTCTGGGCTGTAATGTTCCTTCATTGTCGGATTAGAGAATCGTGAAGTTTTTTCTCACTTGAATCCTGTCATTACCAAGCTTAAAAGGATTGGCCAAATTATGTTTCACTGAGATTCTATTGTATTTGTAAATCTTTTCAATAGTTTGGGGGGGTTGTTTGTTTTTTGTAATTGTATTTGTCTTCATGTAATTTGAGGTGCATACACTGAAGTGTAGATTTTTGAAAAGCTGAGCACAGGGGGCACAGCAGGGGAAGGATAGGAGTTTGTAAAGTCTAGTCTTGCGCAGTGCAGGTTGTCACACCAGCCAGGGAGACGGTTGCTCAGTGATTTGTTTCTGGCTCTGCTCCAGGCTGTAACCTGGACATGCCTTGTTGAGTGGGAGAACGTGATGACGTCACCAGATCACCTGAGCACCTGAGTCCAACGTCTCCGAAACATGGGAGCCATTAAGTAAACGTTATTTATTCTTTCCCTTTCTTGGCACTTGTCTCCTGTTGGGCACTAATTGTGTGACCAGTTAGGCATGTGCATACACTAAATGCACTTGTGCTTCTGCCACTTTACATAGGCAAGTAGTTGTTGCCTTAAAGGAAACTTAACTGTAACATAACATACGTCAGAAAAATTCACAAATCGTAAGTGTACACCTCAGTGCATTTTTCACCAAGTGAACACCTTCAGGTAACCACCGCCTCGGTCAAGAAATAGAACGTTGCCAGGATCCCCGGAAGCCGCCTCCCTCCCACCCCAGAAGTTGTCTCCCAAAGCTGTCTGTGGTCTTGACTTTTTGCCATTGATGACTTTTAACATGTTCTTGACTTTATGTGAATGAAATAAAGTAATATGGTTATTTTATTTCTTGATTCTTTCATTCAACATTGTCTTTGCAGGATCCATCTGTGTAGGTTTGTTCATTCTCATCTGCTGTTTTATAACCCAGTATATTCTTTCTGCTGCTCATGAGTATCTGGGGTCTTTCTAATTCTTACAGATGCTGCCTTGAGTGTTCTTACTTGCTTTTTGGTGCAGATAAGTATACACTTCTGTTGGGTGTGTTCAAAGAGGTAGGACTGCCAAGTGATGGAGAGTGTTCAGCCTTAGTAGAATCTACTGGAGCCTACCCACGGTGGTGGTCGCGCGAGTTGTACTGCCTTCCACGGTGTGTGAGCCATCAGTTGTTCTGACCCTTAATGTGGTCCCTTCTTTCATGTTGACTGTCTGGGGGTGTTGGTGGTGGGAGTTCGGTGCAGTGGGAACTTGCTGCCCCCTGATGGCCAGTAAACATGCCGAGTTGGAGCTTCCCTGTGGGTGCTTATTGGCCTTTTGGGTATCTTCTTGGTGAGATAATTGACTTTTGCCCACTTTTTGATTGGGTTGTCTGTTTTGCTTCTTACTGATTTGAAGGAATTCTTTTTATATGTTCTGAGTACATGTATGTATGGCAGGGTTTATTTTTTTTTGCATTCTTGGGTGTGTTTGCCTTTTCACTCTCTCAGTGTGAAGCATTATTTTTTATTTTAATGTGCCCCAGTTAACCAGTCTTTTCAGTAATATTTAGTGCTCTATGTGTTCAGTTACCTTGAAGTTGTAGGAAGATATTATCCTGTAAAAGCTTTATTGTTTTATCTTTTACATTTAGATCTGTAATCCATCTGAAATTGATTTTTATTTATGGTGCAAGATAGGGGCCAAGATTACGGTTTTTTCCTTTAAATGAATGGATATGCAATTGACCCAGCATGATGTATTTAAAAAACCATCCTGTCTGCAGTGCATTGAAATGTCATCTCTGTCTTAAATCCAGTGACTGTAGATGTATGGGTCTGTTTCCAGACTCCGCTCTGCTCTGTTGAGCTTTTTGTTGTCTTGGCACAAGTACCACGCCATCTAGATTACTGTCGCTTTAGGCTTGAGAGCTGGTGATTTAAGTTCTGTACCTAAGTAGGATACTGAGGTATTCAGTATTACCGTGGCTAAGCTTGACTCTTCACATTTTCAGATAAATTTTAGAATCCACTTGGTAGTCTTTCCCTGGAAAATGTGTTGGCGCTTTAATTGAGACTGAATTTAATTTGTGGACCAGTGTGGGGAGAAATGACATCTTTTTAGTATTGTACTTGTAATCCGTGAATGCAATATAACCTTCCATTTATTTAGATCTTCTTTATGTTAAAATTTTTGTTTTATATGTTTTATATATCTTAAAGTTTTGTGTATATATCTTGTTTTTTTTTCTTTCCAATTACTGTAACCATTTTTCTTTTTCTTGCCTTATTGTATTGGCTGGGATCTCCAGTACAGTGGTAAACAGAAGTATTGACACTAGATAGCCTTGTCTCGGTCCCAATATCAGAGGGAAAGCTTTCCGTATTTCACCATTACATACAATATCTGCTGTAGCTTTTTTGTAGATATTTTTATCAAAATATGAAAATTCTCCTCTATTCTTAGTTTGCTAAGAATTTTTAAATCATGCATTAAAATTATTATATTAAGTTTTCTTAAATTCATTTTATGCAGACTTTGAAACAATTGATTTTTCTTGTATGTGGTTGTTTAACTTTAGAAAAAAATTGCAATTCTAGAATAATCCCAGCCTGATCTCAATGTATTCTCTCTTCATTGGATTTTATTTGTTAATATTTTATTTAGGATTGGGGCATATATGTTCAAGGCGTGTAATTTTACTTTCTCGTATTTCTTGTCCTTGTTGGGTTTTGGTATCAAGGTTATGCAAGTCTCATAAAACAAGGTGGAAAGTGTTCCTTGTTTACCCCCAGAAGAGCTTCTGTGAGACTGGTGTTTTCGTCCTTAAATGTTTGGAAGAATTGATTGGCAAGACCACCTGGTGTAGAGCTGTCTTTGTGGGAAGGCTTTTAATTTCAGATTCAATTTTTTTACATAGAAATATAACTTTTCTAATTTTATATTTCTTCTTGTGTCTAGTTCAGTAAAGCATTCCACCCTCCCGCTAGGAATTTATTCAGGCCACTCAAACTTTCCAGTTAGTAATTGTAAAGCGGTTTGTGACATCCTTATTATCCGCAAGAGCTGTTGTAGTATCTCCTTTTAAAAATCCTTGATGATGGTAATTTGTGCTTTGTCTCTTTTTCTTAATCGGTCTTGCTAGGGGTTTATCAGTTTTATCAGTCCTTTCAAAGAACCAGATTTTGCCTTTATTGATTTTTTCTAAATTTAATATTTTCTATTCCTTATTTTCTGCTCCTTTTCTCATGCATCTACTTTGTGTTTCACTTGATATTCTTTTTTCTTGAGATAGATGCTTAATTGATTCTTAGCCGTCTTTCTTTTCCAGTATATGTGTTTAAGGCTGTAAGTTAACTCACCCTTAGCTGCATCCCTCAAACTTTAATAAGTCAAATTTTCCTTATCTTTTATGTAAAAATATTTTCATTTTCATTGTAGTGTTGTTTTTATCCATAAAGATTTTTAGGAGGTGTCTCATCTAACTTCCCAATGTTTGGCAGGATTTTCTAGTTGCCTTTTGTTGATTTCTAGCGTAGTTCCATGAAGATCCCTGTCTTAGTGTTTTTTGCTGCTATTATAAAATACCATAGACTAGCTGACTTATAAACAACAGGAATTTATTTCTCATAGCTGTGGAGGCTGGGAAGTCCCAAGATCAAGGCACGGACCATGTCTGGTGAGGTGTTTTCTGGTTCACGGGTGTCCGGCTGCTTCTCATTGTCCTCTCATGGTGGAAGAGGCGAGGGAGCTGGCGCCACTCATGGTCTCATCCCTTCCCAAGTCCCTGCCTCCTAATGCCATCGTGAATTTTAGAGGGGCATAAACTGTCAGTCTGTTGGAGTCCTTAAGTATACTCTGCATTATTTCAGTCCTTTGAAATGAGTTGAGATCTCCTAATGACCCAATATATATTCATTTTTGTTAAATGTTCCTTGGGCGCTTGAAAATAATGTGTATCAATGGGAATACAGTGCTCCTTGTGTATCAGATCAAGTTTGTTGATCATGTAATTCAGATTCTAGTAGCCACATTAAAGTAAAAAGATACAGGTGAAATTAATTTTAACGTACGTTGCTTAACTTAAATATCCAA